GAAGGCAATGGAGGCGGCAATTTGTTCTTGTGGAAGAAAGATCTGGGTTGTGAGTTGAATTGAAGACGGTGGTGGGTAGTGGTGGAGGCGATTTGTATTTTTGCGTCTGGGGAGAGGAAATTGGTGTTGTTGTGTGTTGGATGGGGAAAATTACAGAGGCGGAGAGGAGAAGGGAGGGTGGATTCGGATTTCAGGAAGAAGAGGGAGAAGTAGCTTATGGAACCTAGATTTGGAAAGTGAGGGCGGTGGCTGTCTCCATCGCAGAGGAGGAAGATAAGTGGGGTTAGGTGCAAAATGTGTTGGAGAGGGTAAAATTGTATTTTTCTATTTGTCAATAAAAAAATTTCTGATTAATGAAATTCTTATTAGTAAACAAACAGATAATTGGTCAAATTTCTTGTTTAAAATCTCTGATATTTTGAAAGAGGGAATTAAGCCCAAATCCCTTGTTTAAATATTTCCCCATCCAAACGAACCCTTGAGAATTTGAAATCTGCCTCATTATTTATTCCTATTATTGAAGTTGTTATATCATTTGACTAACCAACACAAACTAATAGTGACCTTGAGTTAAGTATTTATGAGGCATAACTTATATGTCGGTGTCCCTTTTCAACAAAATAGAATATGTCAAATATTTTTTTTGTTATAGTAAATTCACTTTATTAAAAATCCATTAAAAATACAAAAATCAATGTTATTGGTGAATCAGGTCAAAAGATTGAGAGCAAAAATACTCCGAGTCGTAGCCCAGGCAAAAGGAGAGGTGTTCAAATGGTTACTATTGTAATTATCAAACCAAATAGGTCTAAACTCTATTAATTATGAAATACAATATCATAACCAAATCGATCAAACAAATACAAAAATCACTTTAATCAATATAACATAACATTATTATTACATGAGAAAATATCATGTTAATGCATCCATCATAATTTATATAGTGAATAAAACATAACAATCGATGTATACACCTACAAAAACATATGTATAATGAACTTTATTTTTTATGGACCCAAAAGGGAGAAAATTTTGACTTTAAGTGGTTATTCACCGTATTTATTAAGTATGTATATATAATATATTAGACGTAGGGATGGTAAAATGGACTGGCAATTTGGGAATTCTCCAAAGCCAACTGATTATGAGTCAAATTATTTAATTTGGGTGTAAATTAGACTCATTACATTGGTTACCCAAAAGAAAATGAATACACAATGTGATTTTTATATTTTTTTATTCTAAAACAAACATAAATGTGAAAATACCAACATTAAAGGTGTTAATTGGTTTAAACCAAATGGGTTCACCCACACCCACATCCAAAATTATTAAGAGTACATATGAGTCCATTTGGCTCCAAGCCAACCCAATATACGTATGGATCTTGACAATTGGGTCCAATTATCCAATCGACCTATCCATTGACATTCATATTATTTAGACATGTGGCTAATTGCTTAACTGGTTAATTGGTTTGCATGGTTAGGAGTGTGTGAAACCAACCCAAACCACCTAAACAAAACAAACTAAAATTTTAACCAAATCAAACCAACTATCCATATTAACCATATCAAATTATTCAAATGCTACCGGTTAAAATGGTTACCACGAAACATTAAAAAAAATTAATTACCACGATAACCACTCCGTTTGAATTAGAGATTTGTTGTCTGTGTCATTGATCTCTTGGTTTATGAAAAGAAGGTTACAAGTTTGTGGTATTGGGTCAAAAAAGAAGATCAGACATCATGTGACTAATTTGCAAGAAGAAGAAAAACAAGACAGAGGATGGGAAGGCTGTAGTTGCCAGTGACTTTTATTCCTCATTATTTTCTACTAATGGGATGGACGCCCAGTTTGTCAAAGATCAGGTGATGGAGTTGCCGATTGAGGAAAAAGTGACTGCTGCAATGAACGATAAGCTATCGACACCGATCTCGCCGGTAGAAATCCGTACGGCCGTCTTCCAGATCGGGGCTACTCAGGCCCCTGGCTCTGATGGTTTTACTGGGGTCTTTTTCAGGAAGTTCTGGGATATAGTTGGGATGGATGTTACGGAGGCGGTGATTCACTTTTTTGAGTCTGGGAGCCTTTTGAAGAATTTTAATCATACTTGGCTGGTTTTAATTGCTAAAGTGGATGATGTCGAGCACATGAAGAAACTTCGACCGATTAGTCTCTGCCAGTTTGTGTATAAGGTAATATCGAGAATCTTGGCAGAGAGGCTGGCTCGCTACCTCCCTGCCATTGTTTCGCCTGGTCAAAATGGTTTTGTGCGTGGGAGGCAAATTGTTGATAACGTCCTCATTGGGCACGAGGTCATGCATTATCTTCGGAAAAAACGGGAAGGAAAACAAGGGTTTATGGCCTTGAATGTTGATATGAAGAAGGCTTATGATAGGGTGGAATGACCATTTTTATTCGCATTGCTTGAAAACTTGGGTTTTGTGCACAATGGATTAGATGGTTAAGCGCTTGTGTTACGTCTTCAACCTTCTCGGTTATGATGAATGCTTGTCCTTCTGGTTATTTTGCGGTGTCTCGTGGCTTACGGCAGGGAGATCCGCTTTCTCCCCTTTTGTTTGCGCTTTGTACGGAAGGATTTGCTGCGCTTCTCCGTCAGGCTATTGTTAGACGGTCTTTAACGGGGATTCGTATAAGCCCTCGCTATCCTGTGGTGTCTCATTTATTTTTCGCAGATGATTCTTATCTGTTTTTGCGGGTTTCTGGTTTGGAGTGTTCTGTTTAAGAGAGATCTTGGCTAGATATGAGGCATTGAGTGGTCAGAAGGTAAATCTGGATAAGTCGGCTATCTACTTTAGTAAGAACGTTAAGCAACAAGAGAGGGAGCAGCTTGGGTCCATTCTTGGTGTTGGGACTGTGGGAGCCACTGATCAATACTTGCGCTTACCAGCTCTAGTTGGTCGATCTAAGATAGAGACATTTTGCTATATCGAGGAGAGGGTTTTGAGCCGGCTTCAAGGGTGGAAAAGGCGGTGTCTATCGTGGTCAGCAAGAGAGGTACCGTTGAAGGCGGTTGTGAATGCTTTGCCTATTCATGACATGTCATGCTTTTGGTTGCCTGCCACTTTGTGTAGAGATTTGGATAGACATATTGCTCGATTCTGGTGGGGAGCTAAAGCGGGGGAGCAGAAAATTCATTGGGTCTCTTGGAAAACTCTCTGTCTGAGCAAGGCTGAGGGGGGAATGGGGTTCCGACGATTTGAGGATTTCAACCAGGCCTTACTGGCTAAGTTGGAATGACACTTACTAACGGATCCTGATTGCATGCTTGCTCGAATTTTTAAAGGGAACTACTATCCCCAGTCTTCATTCTTAGAGGCTACTACGGGGTCTCTTCCATCTTGGGGATGGCGTGGTGTTTTACATGGTAGAGAGCTCCTTCAACAAGGTTTGCGGTGGCAGGTTGGGACTGGGGATAAGATTTCATTTGCGACTTCGGATTGGGTCCCTGCTTGTCACCTAAATCCTCCTGCTTTGCGTCGGAGATGGTGGGGGCCTAGGGGTTGGTCAAATCCTTGATTTCGTGTGAGGATGGTAGGTGGAGGGAGGATTTGCTTAACAAGTTATTTGAACGGGACACTATTGCTCAAATTCGGGATATTCCTTTGCCAAGAGTTCCGATTCAGGATAGGCTGGTCTGGCATCACGACCTCTCTGGGTCATATTCTGTTCGATCAGGATACCATCTTGTGGCAGGTCTTAGGCGGGGTCGAGAGGTTCAGGCTAAGTTGGGTCCTGCTATTTGGGATTCGGGTTTGTGGAGTAAGGTTTGGAGTGCCCCAGTGCCCCCCAAGTTTCAATTCTTCCTTTGGCAATTGTTGTGGAGAGTGGTTCCCACAGGTGAAGCTTTATCAGTTAGGGGTATGGAAGGGGTCCTTCTGTGCCCCACATGCTTATGGGAAGTGGAATCTGCTGAGCACTTATTCTTTCATTGCCGGCTGGCTGATGGATGCTGGGAGGCGGCTGGGCTAGGTTTTCTTCGAGATGAGTTCACGATGCCTCGGTTGAAGTCTTCTGGCGACGATTTCTTGACCAACCGAATTTGGAGGGGGGGGGATTGTTAATGCGAGTGATTGCCCTTTTCTGGCGCATATGGAAAGCCCGGAAATGGGTGGTTTTTGACTCCACACTGTTCACCCCTGCCGTGTTGTTCTCACAGTTCAGTAGACAGGTGGCAGAATGGGAGGCGGTGCCTTTGAGTAGTGGGTTAATGTCTTTCCCTGCCTCTGGGGATGGGTTGAGGGGGGTTCAGTGTGGGGTGCATGATAGGGAGGGGGCGTTGTGGGTGTTCACGGATGGGGCTGTTTGTACAGGGTCTCATGGTGCAGGTGGCTGAGTTCTGGAGGTTTCCTCGGGGACGCTGCTTGGGGCAGATGCATCTGTGTATCCGGATGTGCAAGATCCTTTCTTAGTGGAGCTCATAGCCTTGAGGGACGCTATTCGGTGGGCGCTTGATTAGGGGGTGCAGGACGTCGTTTTTGCAGGTGATGCCAAGGTGGTGCTTGACAAGGCGAAGGAGGGATCGTGTTTGGATGCTCGTGGTGGGGTAATTTTGGAGGAGATCAAGGTGTTGAGGCAATTTTTTCTCCAATCTAGTGTTTGTTTTGTTGGACGTGCGCGTAATAGGGTGACCCATATGGTGGCCAGAAAAGCCCTTTCATTGTTCCCTAGTTTGATAGGGTTCGATTTTCGTTCATGGCTTTTGTCGGCTAATTGACTTTAGTGTATCTTGATTATCTCGTTCAATACGAAGTATCTTTTGGAAAAAAAAAAAAATAAAGACAGAGATAAAACTTTAAGTAGTAGACATGGAAAGAAGTTGAAAATAGGTGACCAATTAGTACTTCATCATATAATAATCGTCAAGGGTGTGCCGAGACTAAATAAAAACAAATCGCTGTCATTCAGGTTTCTCTGTGTATATATATAAAACCGTGCCACACTGCTCCTTCCAACACCACTCTCACAATTTACAGGACACTAAAAAAAATTCCACTTCTCAGTCTCCATCTTGAAAAGTTTGATTGCAAGAAAGGAAAAAAAAGAGTGAGAGGGAGGGAAAATGGCAGAGGAGAGTAAAATGGAAAGAGGGCTTCTCGTGCAGCCGTTGCTAGAGGGATCAGGTAATAGTAATAACAACGAGGAGGACATGATGAGCACTGCCGGAAAATCTTCGTCGCCGGTGGAAGCGACCTCTGCCGCCGTTATCTTCAGCACTTTCGTAGCTGTGTGTGGTTCCTTCTCCTATGGATGCGCTGTAAGTCCTCTCTTCTCCTTATCTGTTTCACTATTCCATTCCAGGCTTAAGCAAAACCAAGGACACAGAGAAGATTGTTTGGGAGCAAGAAAATAGTGACGAGCTAGGAATTCCTTTAGCAACCACCTAGTTTGGTTGCCAAAGAAACTATGCTCTTTTCATAATTAAACAGCTTGGACCAAAGTGAGTCCCAAGTCCCAACGGAGAATCTGTAATTTGTCAGGCTGCCGCACTTTATTAATGGTAAACGTACTGCCCATAACATGAGGGCGAATCAGTGAAATCAAAGTAGAGATTTTTTTTTTTTTTGCCATAAAAATCAAAGTAGAGATTGAGAGACAAAGATCTGGAAATAGGAATAATTACACATGGATCGTATCTTGTACCCCCCACTAATGCAATTCTACATCCTTCGATTTGAATATTTTTATAGTTATCGTTGAAAGAATCTTTATGTGATATAGATTAGAGGGAGGTAGGCTATAGCCCTATAGTTGTCCAGCACCAGATTAAAAATAATCATCCCCTTATTTATGGTCACTTTAAACAAGATTTAATTTCTACTTGCTAGCTAGGTCCATGAATGACATATATTTTCTTGAGTCGTTAAAAGATTATTTTACATAATGAAACTTACTTCAATGAATTTTTTCCTTGGTTTATTTTAGGTGGTTTAGGTATTATTTAAGGGATTTAAATCTGGGACTTTCAGGTTCAACGTTAGTGATAATACGACTAAATCAAGTTCTTGTTCGTGAAACTTACTGCAATTAATTAAATGATGATCCGAAGTATAGTTGAGCAAAAATTCAGATGATCTATCCGAAAGGGAAAGTATTAAACTAGCTAGTCGTCGGTCGGTGACAGGCAGGAAATAACTAGTAACTAGGCATATCATATGATCTACCCAAAAGAAAAGATTCTACATCCAGCCTGGCTTCGCTAGCTTTTAATGCATTAATTAATGGCCTCATGTGTTTGAGAGGTGAATCTGAAACCAAACAAGCTTCTTGCTTGGGATAAGATCCTATCATCTCTGGAGTTATATGCCTCCGCTCTGGGCTAGTGCTTGTTTTTACTGTGTCGAATATGAGTTAGTTTCAATAATTCGATCGGAATTATTGAAATTTTGGAATAGAATCAAAATTACTATCCAATTTATCGAATATACATATATCAGAAACCGATTTGGCCAACATTACATTTTCCTGTCACTCTCCTTGCTAAATTGGTAATTTTTGGATTTGGTTTCTTCTGTTGATTGGTGGTGTATATATATAGTTATCATACTCATCGCCTGCTGAATCTGGGATCATGGAAGATTTGCACCTCTCCATTGCTTCTGTAAGTTGTGCCAACTCTTAATTACCCATCATCACCCTTCTCAAAATTCTAAGTGATCAATAATCACAAGATGAAATCTCAATTTTCAGTCTTATTAGAGCACCGCACCATCCAAATATTATATGCAACTCATTAATTATAAAAATGAAATATACGTGATAGGAGTAGGTAGGGTAAAACTCTGCCCCACCGTTTTCTCCTTTCATGATTCCTTGTCCCATGTACTGGCTTAGGTTGAGGATTGAATTATGAATACCATCATTAATTAATTAATCATTAGTCTGAATATATATTAACTAACCAATAATTAATTAATTAGTGTGTACGTACGTACGTGTTTAATTTGTGGGTGTGCAGTACTCGATGTTTGGGTCAGTGATGGAAGTGGGAGGGATGATAGGCGCTCTGTTTTGTGGGAGACTAACAGCTGTGCTTGGCCGCAAATATGTAAGTCCCTAATTCCTTTTTCAATCCTTCTTCTTCCTGCTTTCGGGCAAACTACAATACAGTTTAATTTGTCGGCACTAGTAATCAAACAGAAGCAACAATGACTTGATATAAAATAAAGAAACTAACTATTCATTAATTAATGTATTTATAATTGGTTGGAACAGTGTGCTTCTTCGTGTTCGATTTTTATAGCCAATCTGTAACAAAATGGGTCTAAAATATAAATAGTGAGAACAATTGTGCAGTTGTTCCTAACTTTTCTATGCACTTGTTTCCTACCGAATTACTTCCATCCGCTATTCCAATTCTACATCGAGAGTTTGAGCAAAAAAAAAAAAAAAAAAAAAAATTCTACATCGAGAGCACCATTTCAAGAATTCGATCGAGTGAAAACCAGGGCTAGGGCAAAGATATATTCAATGAATGTGAACAATATTTGTAAAAGAAAAAAAAACTGAAACAATCGATTTAGTGACAATTAATTTGACGATAATAATAATAATAATAATAATAATAATAATAATAATAATAATAATAATAATAATAATAATAATAATTGTTGGAATATTGCAGACAATGTGGCTTTCCCAGGTGTTCTCCACCATTGGATGGCTTGCTATAGCACTTGCTAAGGTGATCAGAGTACTCAATGCGCCATTTTATTTTACATCCTCTCTAATCCAGCTTTCTCTGCTCGTTGTTAATTGTCGACGAGATAATATAATTAAATTATATGGTGTGTTTTGTAAATTTTTTCTGAACGAAAAAGAATGATTGGTGGCTGGTGACGGGAAGGCTCTCGATTGGGTTTGGAGTTGGTTTCGTCACCTACGTGGTAATTAATTAATTAATTACCTACACGCATTTAATTAATAGATTGTTCGACTTCCTTTTGCCTACCTAATAGCATAGAGTACGTACATGCACGCAGGTTCCAATTTATGTAGCAGAAATTGCACCCAAAGAGCACAGAGGATCATTTTCATATGCCAGCCAGGTTTCATTTTCATATATATTCCCCACAATTTCGATTGTCAAACCAAAGGAGTAGTTTCACTTTCATGTAATGAATAATGTGATGATCGATGATGCAGTTGTTGGTGAACTGCGGCTTCTCCCTTGTGTATTTCCTGGGCAATGTAGTCTCCTGGCGTACCTTGGCCATCCTCGGTAATTCCCTTGTTAATTAATGTAATTGCCTCTCGATTTCCATCTCCATTTTTAATAAGTAAGTAAATACCTTAATTAATTAATGTTGGTTGTTCTTCGTACGTAGCACTTGTGCCAGGTGCGTTCCAACTCGTCGGCTTGCCCTTCATTCCCGAGTCCCCGAGATGGCTGGTGATCGTTTATGCTACTACCTACGTGGTTTTTTTTTCTTCCTTCAATTATAGTAAGTGATCGACTTATTTTCGGGTCGTTTCGTTGTTTTTTGTAGGCCGGAGTTGGTCGAGTGAAGGAGTTCAAAGCGTCGTTACAGCAACTGAGAAGCAAGAATGCTGATATCTCTCAGGAAGTAGAAGAAATTCAAGTAACTACATACACATTGCTAATTCTCCCATCTCGACTCCAATTACAATTACAACCACAAACAGTCAATGATTCGCCGAATTCCATTTATGACTGCAGGACTCTGTCGATGAATCGAAGGACGACCCAAAAGCCAGAGTTGGAGACATTTTACAGAGGAAATATGCCTATGCACTAACCGTAATAAGGCGCCCCACTTTCGCAGCTATATACATACATGTGTATTATTATTATTACTACATTTGATCAATTTCCCAACCATTTTCATTGGATTGGATTGTATTTCTAGGTTGGACTTGGTCTAATGCTTCTCCAACAACTCGGGGGCACTTCAGGAGTTGCATATTATGGCAGCAGTGTAATCCAAAAAGCAGGTAAAATCATACATTGAGTAATATAATTCCTCGAGCTTGTTATTTGTTAACAGTTAAAATTTAATTCCAATCATTAATATATTTTTTCCTGGTTATGGAAACAGGGTTTTCGACAACTGTTGGCACCATAATTATTTCTCTAGTCCAGGTATTTAATTTTTAGTTATTAATTAACAGGGTTCTATTTCTATAAGAACAAAGCAGGAATGGTCTCAAACAAGTATGGTTGTTTTACTGAATTTCGAGATGCCATTTCCGCTTGCAGGTTCCTATAGCAGCTGTTGGGTTATTCCTGATGGATATTTGTGGAAGAAGACTTCTCCTCATGGTAATTTTAATTATCAGTAGGAAACCATGAAAGCTAATGGAGCTTCCAAATTTATTTCATATTATTCCGTCATATAATTAACAGTAGCTAAGCTTAAATGGTGGGGGAAATGCCGTACAGGTTTCTGCAGGTGGAATGAGCATATGCAGCTTCCTAGTGGCATTGTCCTTCGTATTGCAGGTACATAAATCTGATTATACTTTTTGGAATCTTTGCACAATACTAGGAAAGGAGATTTTTGCAACCATGTTCGTCGTTCCAAAGTAATGAAAAATGGGTTTTCGCTGTCATTCCAATTTTATCGGATGTCCCCAAAAGGAACTGGTGTAATAATGACTTAGAAACAGAGTTACTAGAAAAAGACCAACTCATATGAAACATGTCTCAGATGTATTGAAACTAATCTGAGTACCACTCTGAATCTGCTTTTGTTTTGATCATCACAGGGGCTTAACCTTCTCAGGGGAATCACTCCTATTATGGCTATAATTGGCTTGACTGTGAGTGAAAAATTTCTGCTGCAGATAGATGATTGAATTAATAGCCACATGCACTGTTTTGGTTCAGCTACCTTATTTGGGAAAGGGATTATGCAAACTTGTTTTTGTAGGGATACTTCACAGCTTTCTCAATTGGAATGGCAGGAATCCCCTGGATCATAATGGCAGAGGTGAGATATCCATGATACTACCAATATGGCTCCCTAAGAACTCAACTCATTTCCCAACAAGTGCTCAAATTTCTTGCCTTTTGTGAGAAACAGATATTCCCCATGAATGTGAAGGCTCTAGCTGGGACACTAGTCACATTGGTCAATTGGTCATCCTCCTGGGTCATGACTTACTCTTTCAATTTCATGATGCAATGGAGCCCCGCGGGTATTATATAATTTCGATCGTAAAATTTTTAAATAGTTTGTTGATTACTTCGGGTTACTGATCAGCTGCGTATGTAATCTAATGGGTTTTTGCTCTTTTGAACAGCGACTTTTTTTATCCTAGCTACAACATGCGCACTCACAGTGGTTTTCACCATGAAGCTGGTACCGGAAACAAAAGGAAGGACTCTAGAGGACATACATAAATCAATGATGCGGCTCGATTAGCGAAACTAGCCAGATCTTTGTATATAAGTATAAATATGGTTATATCGATCCTTGGTCAATGGTGAAGCTTTGAACCACTTGCGATTCACTAGATTTACTCGTCAACAATGTTTCTTAGAGCTAAGCCTAGGGATGGCTAATATAATTTGGTTTGTGGTGTATGTCGTGTATCATTAGAAATTGCCCACAAATTTAGAACTATGCTACCCACAACCCGCACCACAGTGGGTAGTAGTTCACCACTACGCAGTGCGGTTTGGTTGTGGATACCGACAAAATTTTCATTATTGAATATGATAATATGGTCATTAATATTGGTGTTGTGTTCTTCTTACATTGACCGACTACTTTTCTTGACTTGGTTTTGTTTTAGAAAACAAAACTATTGATAACACAAAAAATGATGATATTTAGAGCCCATATTTAGGTTTGTTTTGAGTCATTTCATTGTCCTCACGGTTTATTTGTCATAAAATATACCCTTTATTCATTCTCTAAAGAAAATATTAGTGTTTTAAGATTTATTAGATGATAAGAATGGTATAGGTACCAAAAGAGGGCACATGGGTAGAGAAATGTGCAGAAATGTGCAACAACAGAAGATCATGGCTAGTGCATTTCTTGATCACGCCCGAGAACTAAGGACGTGAAGCTGGGCACCAAGATCGCAACTTTCAATTGCAAGATCACTGTTGCTAAGTTATAGGAGGCGCAAGCCAACAAGGAAGGAACATAAAGCTTGATAGTCGACTTATGACTCTCTTCATCCGAGCCAGCGAGAAAGATCGCAGCCGCGACTCATGGATCGAGACCGTGAAGTCGGGCTGTGAACTTCTCATCCATCAAAGTGCAAAATGGTGACGCTAAAGATTGCGGCCTCCCCTTTTCAGATCGCACCCGTGATCTTTGTCAGTTCTACCGTGATCTTGGTCGAGAGTTGAAAATCTATAAATAGGGGGTTCCTACCCCTCGTTTAGGGAGCTTAAATCAATTGAGAACTTTTTTGTTTGAGAGAGAAAGTAGAGAGAGAAGATGATGGAAGGAGAAGAAGAGAAGGAGGAGTCAAGAAGGAAGGGCGGTCACCCTAATTCAAGTCTTCTTCTATTTCTATACATGTATCTTCTTCCCTCCTTTATGGCGTAGTCCTCTATGGAGATAGCAATCAAGTTGCAGAAACACCGGAGAACCATGTTTCGGACAATGATGAAAATTACAGGGCTAATAAGCACTCTAAGATTGTTGTTTCTCCTTTTAGAATAACTTCCTTACTGGAATAAGAAAGAATAACGTTTTCGCCGTCGGCGAATGGAGTATTTTGCTGGGAAGGGGAATTTGGGGGAGAATCCAGAATTTGAATAGACGGGGCGTCTTCTTCCATAGCATTGTCAGAGCTGCCGGATGGGTAAGCGATTTCATAGGTAGTGAAGTCAAAGATCCGAACGTTAAAGCTCGACGATCCCGTATAGTCAAACGTCAGAAAATCATACATGGAAACTCTGTTTTCTTCCACGAAACAGGACCAGCCATCGACGAACAAAATTAACCCTTCTTCTGATCCTTTGACGACGCCCACTTCCCTAACTCGACCGTTTGGCAGACAAAGCCGAGCTTTTTTGGTCAGCTTCCCGCGTGTAATATCCCAAACTTCACCGGCAATCTCTGTAAACCAACCCGGTCAAAAAAAAAATTTGGGTTAAGAAACAAGAAAGGGGAAGGGGTTTCTTTACCAGCTTCTCTTCTTGGATTGTGTCTGGGAGAATAACTTTGAAGAAAGCCATGAGGGGAGGATCAAGACTGTTGTGCTCTGTTTTTTCTCCTTTAAGAGTGCTCTGTTTTCAGATGCTATATGAGGGGAAGATCAAGACTGTTGTGCTCTGTTTTTTCTCCTTTAAGAGTGCTCTGTTTTCGGATGCTATATGTTCTTGGTTGGGTTCTTTTCAATAAAGGGTTTACCGGCTGAAAAAGATAAGAGGGAATATGGAAGAAGATTTGGGTTTCCTGGCTTTTCGGTCGACGAGTCTAATCAATAGGCTAGTAGAGTTGCTAGGGAGAGGTGGTAGCCGGATGAGAGATTATTGGGTTTGTAATTATGATAGAGTAGACTCATTTGATTATTAATTTCTCTTTTTCCTTCTCCTTTATTCATTCATTTATTTTTCACGCGAAATGATTTTCGTTAAATTACCGGTGGCGCTTGCCATTACTATGGAATTAGAAGTAACCGAGTTTCATAAGAATTGTACAATAGAAAAATGATAATCAAGCTCATCATCTTTCTGGTTTCGATGCTTCCATCATAGTCGAGATATTCATTGGTATCGTAATCTCCATTGGTGTCGTAATCTCTCATTAGAATCTTCCCTTGACGCCGGATACAAAACATGAAGGCCTCAATTGTAAAGGAAATCTGTGGTTCAGAATCGCATCATCAGTGCATTCGATCTGATCTGAATATTGATTCGGTCCATTTTTCTTAATATTTATAAAATTCATGGTTGGACCGATCCAGATCGAACCAAATTGTTGCATATCGTTACCTATTACTCATACCTCCGATGAAAATAAAAAATCATTATCATCTTATTTAATTATGTATACCTCCGAGGAGATAGCGTAATAGTTAGCTTGCTAGTTTTCAACTTGGAGGTCCCAGGTTCGAATGGGGAACCCTTTAGTAGCATTCGACTCTCACCTGGGCCGAAGGGCGGCGACCCTGGAGTTTACAGTATCGACGACGTCACTCGATGTGGCGCCCGCCCGGGCGGGTTCTTCGTATAAAAGAAAAATAAAACTATCTAAACATTTGAATAAAAAGCAATCCGGTCAACTGGCCGGGGACTAAGCTATTATGAAATTCAAAAATTCATTATAGTAAGTAACTATGGAAAGACTTGCTTGTAATGTAAGTAACATTATTTTGTAATGCAAGTATCATCAATTTGACAGTTACATACCAAATGGCTCATCCTCTTCACTGGCTCTTCAACCTTAGCCTCACTGTCTCTCCTCAAACAGTGACAGCCTTGGCTTATTGTGGGTGGAACATCTGGAAAGCCCGGAACAGCTTGGTGTTTGAAAACACACCCATCTTTCCCCAATCCATCTCCTATCTAGCTGCCCAGGAAAGCGAAGAATGGAGACTGGCTTTGTGTTCCCCTAGTTATGTCCACCCTCACAGCCTAGTGGATATTAGCAGAACCCTATCCCTTCGCCGAGTAATTACGATAGAGTAATACTGTGTGATGGAGCTTTCAAAAGCAACATCCAGCAGGCGGGCATCGCGGTGATTTGTAAAAGATGCATCGGGGAAGGTTTATGATGGTAAGGCTGTGAAAACCCCCTGTCGAGCACCCGAGGCAGCGGAAGCGGTCTTGACTTGAATTTCGAGTTAATTAATCTCTTAGTAGGATTGAAAGCTATGGTCTAAGTTTTTGGATATTTGGAAGTACTTCTGACTCCTTTCTAAACTGCAGTTTGAGAACTTTCTAGACCGTTTGAATTTTTTTTATCTTTTGGGTGATTTGGCGATTGAATGTAAGACATTTTATGTTGGATATTTTGTGACGTTTTAGTCAAGTTACTCATCAAAATGTGGTAAAAACTATCATTAATCGTCAAAAATACAATTTTCGAATGACGAAATTCTGTCACAAATAGTTTTGAGAACCCGACAATACAAAACATAGTGTTTCCAACGACAACGATCCGTCACAAATAGATTTGAGAATTTGTCAATACAAAACATGATTTCCGACGATGAATTTTTGTCAGAAATAGATTAGTAAGCACGTTAATACAAAAATCACATAATTTCCAATGACAGATATTCGTCACAGATAAATTTTATAATTGGTCAATACAAAAAATCATTATTTTCAATAACTCAATTATGTCAGAAATAGATTTCAGAATTTTTTTGACGAAAAGAGGAGATTTTATTTCATCAAATACGATCTACACTCATATGTTTTACATAGATCCAAATTTCCACACAATTTGTCCGAGAATCAAACAAACAAACTCAAACTGACTATATAAGCTAACTCTTTCAAAAACAGCCTATCCATATCTACCTGCTACATATAAGGCTTCACTACCACAACTGCTGCAAACTCACAATTTCCACATTCCAAATCCCCCAAGACCTTCAGCATTTTTGAAATCAACTCATCACAAGTGAGGTACTTCTTGCCATATAACCGACGACACCTCTCTCTCCAAACTTCACTAATCAGCAAACACTAGAAGGAAAATACCCCCAGTTTGCAGGGAAAAATCTCAAGCAATTCTGGGTATAGCTGCACTCAGAGAAAATATGGTCCCGACTTTCTGGTAAGATCATGCATAGAGGACAGGTTTCATCTACATCAATCTTCCACTTTTTGATTTTATCAAGAGTGTTGATTCTATCAATCATGACAAACAATACTAACAGAGAGTTTCTAGGGATTTGAAACTGACCCCAGATCAACTGATATCCAGGCAGCAACTCTCCCCTTGGTCTGATATGCTCCCAAATCTACTTGCTACTATACTTTTCCATTTTCACACCATTCCACAAACCCCTTGATCTGAGCACTGGAACTAATCTGCAACCATAGAACGAGCTTGCAGAATTCTATTCCAAGCCCAAGAACCTGAAATCTAATTATCCCATATTGACAAGTTCCTCAACCGATATTCCTTTAACCATGCAATCCACATAGTGTCCATATCAGACAACACAACCCATATATGCCTAATTATACATGCAATATTCCAGGATTTCAAATCCTTAAACCCTAACCCACCTTCATTTTTTGGCAAAGCTACTTTTTGCCAGGACACTTTAGCTATTTTGTTTGGGTCAAGTGAATCCCAAAGAAAATCAGAGCACCTTTTCTCAATTTCTTGTATAACCTGCTGAGGTAACTGAAAAATCCCCATTCAAAACTGAACTATGTTGGCAAGAACTGAGTTTATGACCTGCAGCTTCCCTGCGTAAGTAAGCAGTTTTGGCTTCCACCCCTGAATTCTTTTTGTTATTTTGTCTACCAAACTTTTACAGTCAGCTATCCCTAACTTTCCTGCAATGAGAGGTACACCTGGGTACCTGACTGGAAGTGAACCCTCCTGGAACCCTTATATATCTATAAGCTCTCTACGAGTCTCGACACTCACTCCAGCACAAAACAATTCACTCTTCGCTGGGCTACAACGCAATCCAGAGACCTTTGCAAACTGCTCCAGGATTTCCGCCACAGTCTTAACCCCCTCCTTAGTCCCTTTTGTAAAGATCAACAAGTCATCCGCAAAGCATAGGTAGGTAAGCCCCACTCGATGACATTGCGGATGATAAGGAAGCACCCTTAACATTGCAGCCCTATTTAACATACATGTCAATACTTCCATAGTAATTGCAAAGAGGTAGGGGGATAATGGATCCCCCTGTCTTAATCCTTTTCGAGCCTGAATGTTTCCAGTTAACCCCCCATTCACACAAACTCTAAGCGATGCAATTTCCAAGCAAACTTTAATCCAATTCACAAACATATCAGGTAGCCCCATAGCAATCATCACAGTATAAAGAAATCTCCAATTAACACTATCAAATGCTTTCATTATATCAATCTTTAAAGCACATCGTGGAGAAACTCTTTTCCTATGATACTTCCTATCCATTTCATGTGCCAGGATGATATTATCACTGATCAGTCTTCCTTTTATGAAAGCAGACTGATTGCTGCTAATCAAGTCTGGCAGAACTTCCCTAAGTCTTGTAGCTAAGATTTTGGTGATGCATTTGTAAATGGCATTGCAACACGATATAGGGCGATATTGATTAATGGACTCAACATTATTCACCTTAGGAATTAAGGTAAGAATAATGTTGTTTACCTCTGCCAGTAGTTTACCAGATATGAAAAATTCCTGCACTGCTCGAATCACATAAGCTCCTACTAATCTCCACTTATCCTAAAAGAAGTCAATAGAAAACCCATATGGCCCTGGGATTTATCCCTCTTCATTCCAAATATTACAGCTTTTATTTCTTTAGCAGTAGTTGGCTTGCAAAGATCAAAGTTATTAGCAGGAAGATGATGGATCGGTAGCTTTTTTATAGTTTCACTCGAGACCGGGGAGACAGTTTTGTCTTATGTACCAAGAAGTTATCAAATTGTTCATCAAGTACAATTTTTTCTGACCATGCGATTTTATTAATTGACCATAGTCTGTCATCAATAATTTGTAATTTCTCACTGTGCGTCGGAATAACTAGTATTATTGAGGAAAGATCTCCCAACGACGCCGGACGATCATATTTTGTAAAAATAAAATAAAATTGCAGGACCCTTATTTTTTACGCAAATCTTTGCGCAAAGGTTGAATGGTTTTTTTATAGTGTCTAGTGGAGACTGGAGGTGGTGTCTAACACTGCATTTGGAAAGCTGGGGTAAGTGCATGGGGAGTAAATCTGAGGAGTAAATTTGAACATGAAAGGTGGTTAATAAAGTAGGTGCATTTTTATTATTTTCACAAACGCCTCAAATTGGGGTCCAAGGGAAGGATGTGGTGGGTTCTAGCAGGAAGGATAGGAAAAGAAAGATAAAAGAAGTGGGCAGGGGAGTGGGGCTGAGTCAAAAAGAAATAAGAAGAAAGGTGAGGTCGCGATAGTAGAAGGAAGGGGAAGTGAAGGTGAGACCATGTGTTATTTATCTTTTCAGTAAAAATAATTAATATATTAAAATTTGTACCTCTTATTTTTTCTCTAAAACACCAATTTACACCCAATTTTCACTCCCTTGAATTTACTCCCCTTTATAATTTATATCCTAATTTGCACCCTCTCGAATTTGCACCTCTCTCGTTGCCAAACTGAGTATAAGGCCTAGAGTTAGATAAAGATAATTGCCCGTCGAAGGCATCGGAATCCTATAAATCGTCAAGTGCTTGAGTCAAAGGAAAATCAGACGATGACAGAGCGGACGACAGCCGAATTGAGAAGTCATCAGAGAAGGTGGCGATGAGAAATGTAAGGAGTCGGAGAGGAGAGCAGAGAGCTCGTAAAAACATAATGAAAGAAGGAGGAAACATCAAGAATTGGATTTTTGTTCATTTGGCGAGATTGTGACCGGGTTTTTCTCTAGAACAAGAAATGCATGGGCCCAAAAGAGGTTGGGGTATTTTGACTATTTTCATTGGTCGAGTGTTTTTGGAAGCAAAGTAGATTTTGGTGAAAAGTTTTGGAGGAAAATATTAAACTTAAAGGAAATTCTTTCTCCTAAATTTTGTGAGAAATTTTCACCAAATTTAGATTTTTCACTGGAATTAACTGTGACGAAGTATTAATCACGAGAAATAAAAATTAGAGCTAATTCTACTAGAAAGTACAAACTATTCAAAAAGTGACATTTTTGTTTTAAACTATTCAATATGACAAATTTGACACGCACTATTTTTTCGTTAATGTGGACCGACGTTGACCGTTAGTATTTAATAGAACCTCTAGTCAACGTCTATGTGGTTTGTGCCTGATTTGTCATATTGAATAGTTTAGGACACAAATGTCACGAAACACATATAGTTTATGTCAGATTTTTCATATTGAATAGTTTACACAAATAACACTTTTAAAATAGTTTGGACTTTCTCGTGGAATTAGCCCTAAAAACTAAAAACAGAGTGAATATTATTCCCCTAACTAGAAATATATTACTAATTTACGTGACTTTTTCCATGACTATTAATATACCTTTTAGTATGAAAAACATTTCCCGTGAATAATGTAAATTCCTTGTAGTGAAGGATTTCAAGGCATACGTTACGTTATAGCCAAAAGTCTTCAAAAGTCAAAACCATGCACAAAATTCAACCTTTTTGGTGTCCAAACGTGGATACCTAACTTAGACAAGAATACCAGGCCAAAAAGAAGAATTTTTGAAGACAGGAAATTTGATAAAAGAGTAAGATTAGGTTCAACAGATCTTCTTACTCAACACATCTATATACGTAAGCTGGAATACTTATTTCACTTTCCAACTTGCAGCATCACCTTCCGTTAATTCTAACACAAACAGCGTTTTATATTCTGACACCTTTCAGGTGACATATTATTCTGCGTCCCTCTATATATGTAAACCATTAATCCCACAAAAAAACTTGATTTAATTACACCTGCAAAACATAATTCTCCTCTTATCATAATCTCCTCTTATTCCCCGGCTCTTTCGTTTTCTTCCCTTTTTTTGCCGGGATATGGTGCAAATGGGTTTTGACGATGGGATGCGATCGAAGACGAGTCCTTTGCTTGTTGCCGTCGACGAGGAAGACCCTCATCGGGATTCTGCCGCCGGTGACATGCCATCATTCATTACCCCTGTCCTCGTACTTAGCACCTTCATTGCTGGATGTGGCTCCTTCTGCTACGGCTATGCTGTAAGTGATATTATATATATAACGACAGCTTAATTACTCTCAACTCAATCTAATTATGTTCTTAATTTCTATTTCATTTCATCGTGTGATTCCACGTATAGCTTGATCTATGCTCATGCTCTGTCTGTTAGTGTTAGGTTGACATGTTGTTGAACCTTTTATCGCGACTCGTCATTATATTTAACACAAACGAGTGTTGAAAATCAATATATTTCAATGAACCTATAGAATGTTGTTTCCTAAACATGTCTTTGAAAATTTATATTTATGAATTTTGAAATTTACCCTAATCCAATATTAATCTTGTGGTCGAATCAAGCATTGGTGTTAGAGCTTAACCAAGAGAATACATAACATTCACAGGCCATCTCTCTTCATTTAGATTTCTGTCTTCGTTACTGCCATCAGGTCGATTGTTTGCCGGAGTAGTTCATTGACAAAAGAAAGGTTAGTTAGGTAAATCAAATCGTCAACATTCGTTGGCCCTTAATTAACGACCGTTTGTTAGCTATGGTTGGTCCGAATATTATTGCACATCCCAAATTTTCAATTACTTGGGAAAATTCCTTGTTATTATTGCGGCTAATCATTGTCATTTTCTTGTCTAAGCAAATTGTTCCTTACAATTTAAATACGCCCGGAAATGGAGATGGTCACCCTCATCACACAACCATAATAATATACATAAGCTAATTCAAAAACAGTAACAATAAGATTTAATTAAGACGCCAGAAGCTAAGCTAATACAAAGGCGCCAACAAGACAATAGTAGCTTTGACCCAAAAGAAATAGTAAACCCATATCACCACAAGCTAAGTACAAATGTCAACTAACATACAATTTTTCTCTTTGACTTTTATTTTTTTATTTTAATTAATCGTAATCGGATACTTATTGGGTGACAAGTTATATACCCAGCTTCACTCAATGGTAATCGAATACTTTGGTGACAAGTTCTATATTTTCATTCATCCACAATGGGAATAGCCAGCTTCAGTACTAACTCCTTGCATGCTTAATTACCTTTATATATCTTCGCATACGATTTTATTGTGAAACCAATATTGTATTTAAAAAGATTTTATCACATGTGTCTCACGGTTGAAATCATAATATCACATATGAGATTTGATTATTCTAGCTCACAGTAAAGTTCGATAGGGTTCACATGCATCTTCCCAACATTGTTTACCTATAAATTATGTTAGTTTATCAATTTTAATCCCAATTATAAAATTTGACCCATGTATATTTGTTACCTGGTGCATGGTTAGTGGAGTTCAAACCTGCTTTAACAAATGTCAATGACGTCTCCTATATTGTCACGTATATTGAAGATTCATTTTCCACCCCAACATTCAACACCACTAATTAATTCTGCAAGGCAATATATGTTTTAAGTATTTGTAGCGTGATGATTGTTGAGTAAATTAAAGTGCTAGAAGCTATATTAGTTTTATTTATACGCGTGCTTTAGAGTTATTATGCAAGTCAACTTTAATAGTCTATATAAATATTTTATGATTCCATAGTATGACACGCCAATTATAATTGAACTTGGATTTATTAACAATATCATGGACCCAATATAATCCATGAATCCTCAATTTCAATTAGATTTGAATAAAATAAATTTAATTAATTAGATATTTAATCGGATAGATTGGATTAGATTGAAGAATAGGATTGAAAATTATCACCTCAACAAATAATAGAGTGTTTTTCTATATACAGTGGCCGCTGACATGTAATGAAATTTGGTGTGTTTTGTTGGATAATTAACAGATGGGTTATTCATCTCCAGCTCAATCCGGAATCATGGCGGAAATGGGTCTGTCCCTTGCACAGGTAATTTTCTTCCTTTTGCACGCGAACAAAATGAGCTTTGTATGCGACGACCAAAAGTTGATTACAAATAATATTTAGGAACCATTTGTTCACTTTAGCAACCGTATTATATAGTGGCAAAATCGTAACTTTTCCCGTCGATTACGAGTTTCTTATTCATTAAATTCAGATGAATCACAAATTAATTTAAACAATAATTGTGGGTCTGGCAGTATTCAATTTTTGGATCAATTATGACGATCGGGGGAATGATTGGTGCAATCTTCAGTGGCAAGATAACTGATATGTTCGGTCGGCGGCGTGTACGTATAAGTCTACGTACCATCATTCATTTCCACATTATTATTATATCATATTTACAACAATAATTTATAGAAATTTTTTGTATTCATAAAAGAATTAGTTTTATTCCCTGATCAGGCAATGATGTTATCAGCGGTAGCGTGTATTCCAGGATGGCTTGCAATAACCTTCGCCAAGGTTTGTGTTTCTGTTGGACAGACGTACCCATAATCAGCCTACATAGTCATTATTTCTCACATTTTTCGTTATTGTGGATTAATTAGTAGTTTAATTTGAATTATTTATTGGGTTAATGAATTATGTATGTATGTATGTAGGTTTCATTTCACCAACCATATCATATTTATTTGTAAAAAAAAAAAAAACCATATCATATATATTGATTTGACTTTTTGTTTGATTTGGGGAAATTAAGGATGCCTTGTGGCTGGAGATTGGAAGAATGTTGATTGGATTTGCAGTTGGCGTCTCTAGTTTTGTGGTAATTCTCTACAGTTAATTACAGACAATTTACAAGCATATTTGTTGGATCATGTAAACCTCGTATATTAATTATTATATGATTGCTCACTTTGATCTGTAGGTGCCTGTATACATAGCAGAGATTGCGCCTAAACAAATTCGAGGACGGTTCACCTCTATTAATTTGGTAATTAATACAAAATATCTGCTATATATATATTTGTGCTGATAATTATCTTGAGAATTCACAATGATACTTCCGTCCTAAAATTCTAATTCCATTGTTTGGTGGATGGGCAATTAATTAGTTGATGACAAATTATGGGTTTGCGGTAGCATTCTTCATGGGGAACATCATCTCCTGGCGCACATTGTCACTAATTGGTAATTCCGATCCCCCCAACTTTAATCACAATCATGAGTTTAGGTGCTTAATTAATTAATTATCCAATTCCATGACAGCCGTTAATTAAATTGCTTTCAGCTGTTGTTCCGTGCGTTGTACAACTTGTTGGCTTGTTCTTCATTCCAGAGTCCCCGAGATGGCTGGTGAGTAGTCAATTTTTATCAACTCGTCAACTTATAAGCAGTTATATCTCCGTCAGATGAGATGTGACACTTAAATACGCCGCTAGGAAATTAATTAATATAGTCTCTTACCAAACCCCATGGCTTAATTAAGTAACTCAGAGGTTAACTCCAACTCGCATTGCTAAACCATCATCATACGATGGTCCGAAATCTTTGTCGCCTAACTCATATTGACCGAAAACCACGCGATCGATTTTGACGACATGTTTGATTAAGATATGTAAGATATCATGCTTTTTATTGAATTGGAATAATTTAACAGGCGAAAGTTGGGCGAGAAAAAGAAGTTCAGGGTGCCTTGCAGAGGTTAAGAGGAAAGAAGGACATTGCTGATATTTTTCAAGAAGCCGAAGATATACGAGTAAGAGTTATTACTATATTTTTTTTATTAAGGGCGCGTTTATGGTACATTTTGAATTTTAGATTTGTGTCATAGAGATATCACTTGAAACAACACAATTAACTTATGTAAAAAAAATTTTGTTAATGAATTTATAGGAGATAAGCGAGGCATTTCAACCTGGCAAGGATGCCAACCCTTTGAAACTGTTCCAGAAGAAAAATGCATACCCCATGATTGTAAGTATTCCAAGGATCTCAATTTCTTTTAAGTTTTTAGCATGAATTATCAAATGATAAAGTAATTAAAAATAATTTACAAATCACAGGCGATGAATTTTACCTCCTTTTTATTTATTTATTAATTAGGTTGTGGTGGGGCTCATGTTATTACAACAACTCGGAGGGATCAGTGCGCTGGCGTTCTACACTAGCACTATCTTTACTAAAGCCGGTAATCAATTCATAATTTTCTGAAAAAACAATTTATCCAACTATATCTATATATAGATTATCTTTTTAATGATTGTGGCTCAAAGTCAACTTTAATATTGTGTTGTTGTACAAGTCAACTTTATTATCGTTCTTGCTGTCTTTTGGCTCTTGAGCAGTGTTATATTCCTAATCAGAATCGTAGAAATTAGATAATTACCGTATTAGTATTAGGGTTATTATAGAAGTCTGTCTATGTACTCTATATAAACCCTTTGTGGTATTAGTAATAATACACAACAGTTTCCACCGTATTCTGATATACCAACAGAGAGTATTTGACTCCCCCGCCGTAGCCAAATATAAGTTATAAAGATTATCAATTTGATGTGCTTCCAAGAGCTTATTGGAGTTATAAAGATGAGATACATTTGTTTAGCATAGAAATTATGAGTTTAGAAAAAAATTATTTATATAAATTAAAAGAGGCATCATAACCCATGTCTTATAATTTTTTCTTTGTTTTTTATTTCGATTCGGGGCCTGCAGGTTTCTCGACTACTATTGGAAGCACATCACTGTCGATTATGCAAGTAGGTTCTCATTTCATCATCATCATCTATCTAATATTAATTAATTAAGCCCATCATTATTGATTAACACATAATTTTGGAACCTGATGAATGTTGGGTTAATTAGATTCCTGTGACGCTAATAGCAGTGCTTTTAATGGATGCATTTGGGCGACGGACTCTCCTCATGGTCAGAAAATTGGCAGCCGCCCACCCGGATATTCTTTTATATTATTTCTTTTGGGTTTTACCGATAAATAAACTTAATTCGTTGCTGATGAAATAATGGCCTGCAGGTGTCGTCTGCTGGGGCATGCTTGAGTTTGTTGCTTGTGGCTGTTTCATTTCATTTGAAGGTATGAGTTAAATTGGGTTTAATTAAACTGCTTTTCATTTTTTTCCTCACTTTTGGGTTTAATTAACTGCTTTTCATTTTTTTTCTTCTTCTTTAAATTAAATTGGCAGGAATTGCAATATTTGGATGACCTCACTCCCCTACTAGTGTTTTTGGGCATCTCGGTAAGTTGAACTCGCTCCTCTTGTGCGTATGACAAAGTTTAGCGTAGTTTTAGTTTTTCTATATAATGGTTCATCAAGAAATAGGAAAATATAAATATGTAGGAACAAATTAAAAAGCTAACTCTTTAGTTACAAAAACAAAGAGAGATTCAAATTCTCATATGATAAAATTTTGTTGCTATTGTTGTGGTTTTGCAGTTGAGTTGTGACAACAAAAGTACAATCACGACCACATGAAAATAGAAAAATGAAATCATGTTCAGTTGTTAATTCTGAGAAATCATATAAGAGCTAGACAATTAGAAATAGAAACACATTTAATTACTTCTTAAGGGTTGGATTTAGTATCAATGTTGATACTAAAACAAAAGTAAAAAAGTACCGGAAGGAATAATGTTACGTGATGAGATAGGAGAAAATTGAGTGAGAAAAAATATGAAAATAATATTGGCAATAAGACTTTGAGATGAGTTATGTGAAAATGGAGAGATGAAAATATATAGAAAGTAATTCTATTGAGATTTGATCGTAAATTCTCTTGATTGAAATTAATCAAACAACTGATGGGTCTTATAAAAAAAAACACCAAGAAAGCTACTTAATAATGTTTTATTGATTTAATCTAACATTTGTTGTGTTGCCAACTCAATTTGAATTTGACACAATAACATAAGAAAACATATCTAAACTTGTTTTTATTTTATTTTTTTTGGATAAAGGTGAAAATTGCATAAATCAGAAAAAAAGTCCAGAAACATATCTAAATTTGTTTTTATTAAGTAAACGGCGTCGGTTATTTTGAATGGCAGGGTTATGTAGCGGCTTTTGGCATCGGAATGGGCGGAATTCCATGGGTACTCATGTCGGAGGTAATTAAACACACACGGCTACTTCTTGTTTTTTTAAATATTATTATTATTATTATTTTAATAAAACCCCCTTTTTCTTCTTCTCAAAATTAAAGTTAGATTATTCATAAAAAAAAAAATTAAAGTTAGATTGTCTTTTGATCTAATCAAACGAAGTCATGCTAATTAATTAACATGGGGTCTTTAATCGATCTGTTTTGGTAATGTAGATACTTCCCATAGACGTGAAAGCTTCAGGTGGAAGCATAGCGACTTTAACGAATTGGTCGGTTTCATGGCTGATCACTTACACCTTCAACTTCGCGCTGGAATGGAACCCGGCCTCCACTTTTTTCTTCTTTGCAGCCATGAGCTTGGTAGCCGTTTTCTTCACTTGGAAGCTGGTTCCTGAAACGAGGGGCCGTACTTTGGAAGAGATTCAACAACTGTGTAGTTGAATTAATTTGGTTAGCTATTCACTGTTTGGGATTTATTAATGGTCGAATGAAAATGAAAGGGGAAAGATCCAAGAGAATCTCTTGAAGTACCATGTTGATAAGATAAGGGAAGGCACGGCCTCGAATTTGATCGATTTGATGTAATATATGTGATCAGTAATCGGTTAAATTGGGTTGTGTAACCAACCAGACCAAACCGAACCTAGTGAAATCAAATCGAACCATGTGACGGTTGGAATAACGAAACCGGTCCAACTTCCATGAGGCCGAACCGATGCAATAGTTGAAATATTTTAAACGAACCATTGTAATGGTTGGGGTGCAACCACCCATACGAAGAGTTGCCTCCCTTCTTACGTACCCCTTCATTTTCTATAAATAGCACCATACCCCCTCTAGTTTTTACTACAAGAAACATACGTTTTTCCTATATAAAAACTCTGCCAAAATCTAAAGTGATTTTTCTGCATTGGTTTTCAAAGAGAAAATCGAGTCAAGTGTGGTTCTCGCCGGTTCGCTGCGTTTGTTGGTTTCCGGGGTTTGAGGTACCGCTACGCCGGAAAAGGTACGTCCTTTCTATCCTCGGAGGAATCATTCCATAATATTGGGTAATAGAGGGGAATAAGATTCTTTAAGTAGAGACAGTGAATTATGTCGGCTAGGATGGTCATATGTGTCTTTGCATGATTTTTCGTGATCTTACATGTTGCTTGTTTTGCAAGATATAGTATACATGAACAATTTCCACAACAATCTTAAAGAATCTTATTTTTTTGTTTTTGTTATTGTTCTCCTATTCTGTTTTGGTTTCCGAAAAGTTGCATTCAGAATTTTGGATATATAAAGTTTGGCATGATTGAATGTTACATGATCATGTGTTCGTGTATGCCATTGTCGTGGTGTATATATATAATTTGGTTTGTTGTTTGATCAATTTCTGGATATAAATGAATTTTTTGTGATGACATAGGACTTCCCACTTCCTTGTGTATCAAGTGAAATGGATAACTTTCTGTCCCTCGATAAATTGGTGTACCAATTTGCTTAGTAATCAATTTGTTAATTGATTAACCGTTATGAGAATGTACTTTGGTTAGTAATCAATTTGTTAATTGATTAACCGTAATTGCTACTACATATTTTTGAAGTTGAGTCTCGGCTTCTGTATATAATTGCCGTGCAGCTGTATATAATTAACCACATATTTTACTCTCCTTGACGTCGGAGAATGGAGGAAGAAAGGAAGGAACTTTGTTCCTATACCGTGTGGGAAGATTCTATTACCATGTAGAGTTCTGTTTTGTGGTTGGAGGAAACAAAGAAAGAATGGCCTGACAAAGTTTCAATTGGAACATCACGGAAGTCCAATATGAAACATAAGCTGTTGGGACGGCAATTGGGACATGAAACATTATGTCCGTTCTCTCGGCTGGTTACGGAAAAAGAGGTAGAAGAAGTTCTCCACATTCACTTCTCTCAGTAATCTTGTGTCTGCTACCTCTTTTAATTATTGGTGCTGTGTGGGATTAAATATATATGTTTTATTCTTTTCTAGGCCATTTTAATAAGTCAATGCAAAAGAAAGCTTTGGTTAGGCTTCTCAGTTCTCATGCGTTGTACCAGGTGCAACGTGTATGTGAAAAGAAAAGAATGGTGGACCAATTAACTCGAGTTGGTTAATGATACCAAATATATTTTTTTTATAGTATTTGGGATGGGAACGAACTCATAATTCACATTATGAGAAAAGTTCATGGAAATTCAACTTGGTTGAATACAAAGAAATTTATGTTTTTGGGTTTCAATTTTGGTACTTGTGAGATACAACACTTTGGTTTATGCAAAGTTGATTGTGGTCTTGGAGAAAATTGAAACAATATGATGGTTAGCATTCCCGATACATGGAGTCAATGCATGATGATGTGCTTATGTAAATTATATATTTATATAATGGTAAATCAATGTTCCTCGCATTGATCAAAATTATTTTGGGCACTTGATCATTCAACGTGATGCATGAGAGGATAGAAGAACCTATACTTTGTATGCAATGGATCAAATCCAAGATATCCCTTTGTGGATTGAAAGGTGGTTTGGATGGTGTTAAACTATCCGGTTAAGTATGAACAACCATAGGTGTGTGAAATCTATGACGCAAGGTTTGTGAGGACTTGTGTTCAAGTATATCTAAGCATAAGTTGTTGCAAATGTGAATGCAAAGGTTATGTTTAAAGTAAGTTCAACATAGTATGATAAAGTATACCTCCAATGTGTTGGAGATGAAATTCGGTAAATGCACGTCTAGAGGATTGCATTACGAGTAAGCCACAAGCGATAAGGAATTTTAATTCCTTTTTGCGAAGACATGATAATTTATTTATTATGTATGTGGTTTAGGACTTAATATTTTCTATGCCATGAGAGCAAGGAAAATGTAGCTAAGATTGATCCTTATCAGGATTGTACAACCTTGCCAAAGAAAATTGATCATCAAAGTAAGCATCGTCAGAATTATTTATGGTAAATGTACGCAATATCATTGGAAAACAATTTGGCATGAGAGTTCATTTGAGATGACTTTATTGAACTTAAGGTATAAATTAATTATGGTATATTTATGAATCATATACTATTGGCAAGTAATTAGACGACTGGTTTAGAAAATTCATTTGAATTACTTGTGGTATGTCAAGTTACCTTGATGAAATGTCATTGGTAAGTAATTAGACGGGGCTTCCAGAACAATTTGGAATGCATTTGAATTACTTGTGGCATCTCATGTTGCCTTGTCAATACCATTGGTAAGTAATTAGATGATATTTCTAATAAGATCTGAATTGTTTGTGGTATGCTAATCGAATTAGTATATACCATTGGTAAACAATTAGATGAAGATAGTGGTTGTCAAGTTCAATACGTAAAGTCATGGAAAATAAATTCATTTATTCCATGATGTTTGGCAAATGGTAGGATTTTCGGGGAGACCGTTGTTCCGGCTACTATCTCAAAACCCTACATGAGACACGAACCTATCCATAACGAAAAAAATGGAAAGGTCAAACAAGCCATACTTGAAAGTATGAAGGTGTCAAGTGAGAAAGAGCAAGTCCATAAACCTTGTGGAGTTAACCGAGTCTAAGGGTATAACTTATATGTGTAAAATCTAGCCTATATTGACATTCATGTCAGAGAGCTAGTCTAAGAATTTCAAAGAAGATTTCTTAGAAGTGTTGATCCACTCTCTCCAAAGGGAAAATGATGTCACCGATATACATGCATGTATATGTACGACATTCCCCTTATCGAGAACATTGAGTTTCAACAACTATGGAGAAATATTTGAAATGTGGGGGATTCCAATTAAAGTGATACTTAGGAGTTTTGCGTAAACCCTAAGCTAAGTCTTAAATGTCACTACATTGAAAGAGATACTTGTGAATTTCGAGTACTCTAAGGTTAATAAAGTGGAGTGACTTCAACACCATTGGCATGTGCTACGATTAAGGCAATAAAATCAAGTTAAGCACATGTGATGTGTAGTGAATCAAAAGAGACGAGTCTTTGGTGTATTTTAGCCAAATGAACTCACCGGGTGAACCAAAAGCCATAGTCCACTATTGGATAGACATTTATGGTTAACGGGGAGCAGTATCTTGGAAAAGGTCCAAGTTAAACTATGTTTACCCACTCTAAGACCGGTGAAGTTCAATAGTCTGGCCCGCAAAGACTGGCGTTAATAAACGCACTTGTGCACAAAATGGTTATTGCAAGGGCTAGGAGTGTTATGTGAGAATCTCGTCAGAGAAACATAACATTATTGATTGATTAATTTCTAGCAAAGTTATCGGAGATGATCATTGAGATCAAGTGATAACAAACGTGGGGCCATCTAGAAATTAATTGAAGCATCGAAGGGAATGGACTCGTGGCCAAGGACAAATCATCATGGAGGTAACTCTACCTAAGTAGGATTGGCGGTATGGTTAACGGGGAGCAGTATCTTGGAAAACGTCTAAGTTAAACTATGTATACCCACTCTAAGACCGATGAAGTTCAATAGTATGGCCCGCAAAGACTGGCGTTAATAAACGCACTTGTGCACAAAATGGTTATTGCAAGGGCTAGGAGTGTTATGTGAGAATCTCGTCATAGAAACATAACATTATTGATTGATTAATTTCTAGTAAAGTTATCGGAGATGATCATTAAGATCAATTGATAACAAATGTGGGGCCCATCTAGAAATTAATTGAAGCATCGAAGGGAATGGACTCCTGGCCAAGGACAAATCATCATGGCGGTAACTCTACCTAAGTAGGATTGGCGGTATGGTTAACGGGGAGCAGTATCTTGGAAAACGTCCAAGTTAAACTATGTATACCCACTCTAAGGCCGGTGAAGTTCAATAGTCTGGCCCGCAATGACTGGCGTTAATAAACGCATTTGTGTACAAAATGGTTATTGCAAGGGCTAGGAGTGTTATGTGAGAATCTCGTCATAGAGACATAACATTATTGTTTGATTAATTTCTAGCAAAGTGTAACATCCCGTTCCGGCAAAACCCATATTTCGATCGCTAGAAAGTTCGCAATTTAAAATCGAACATTTCAACACTATTTCGACGAAAATCAAATTATCAATCAATCGGATAAGTATACGCATTAATTATATATATATATATATATATATATATATATATATATATATATATATATATTGTCCATTTAATTCCCCACTCCATTTTCTTTCCCCATCACCATCGTTTTTCCATTTCCTTTGCCGAGAGAAGCAGAGCGAACAGAGTAGTTCAGGGAGGCTTCTGTGAAAAATTTCAAAGCTCCAATCTTGAGCCCTAGTGATCCAAAAATCCAGTAAGTAATGCCTAATTCATCTATACATCGTGATTTATCGATTTAGAGCTTTAAAACGAGTTTTTGGTTCAGGAATTTCTTGAATTCCCGATAAAGCAAATTAGGGTTTCGGAGTATCCGGAAGCCGGA